AAAGTCAGTATCTGACATTAAGTGTTTTGTGAGTATCTATTAAATCAGTGAATGATGAATAGCACAGCTCAGGAACTGATACCATTTTTCATGGAGGATAACTAAGGGCAAAGTGGGTCTGCCATGGTGTGATTCAGGTACAAGACTGTAGTATATAAGAAGAAGCGACTATCAGGGGACACCACCCAGGGTCTCAGGCCCAGCATCACATCACTGAGGACACCTGCACTTATAGATATTTGCAAACAAAATGAAGCACAAAATGCTGCTGTGAACCAAGAACATTCTCTTCACTGTTTGAACCTGATTGAGTCAGGGACATCTTTTTTTTTTTTTAACTTTTTATCTAAATTCAATTTGGTTAACATACAGTATAATATCAGTTTCAGGTGTACAATATGATTCAACATTTCCATACATCACCCAGTGTACATCACAAGTGCATTCCTTAATCCCCATCACCTATTTACCTCATCCCCCCACCACCTCCCCTCTGGTAACTGTCAGTTTGTTCTCCATAGTTGAGTCCATTTATTGGTTTGGAGTAAGGCATTTCTTTCTTTTTTTACCACCTGTATCCAAATATCTTTGTAGCCTGAAGGAGTAATGTCAATTCTAGGAAGAAAATAATCCAACATATCCCCAAAGAAATGTATTTCCTACAATAATGTGTATCACAGGATTACTTATTACAAAAACAAACAATGACAACAACAAACCTCCACTGAAACAAAAGGAAGAACACACAAATACACACAAAATGGTAACAGCCTAAAAGTCTAGCAGTAGAGAACAAAATAATAATAAAAAATACAATTTAATAACAGGTTGGCTAGGGAATAAAAAAATAGGAGAGGACAGACAACAGGTCCTGACAGGGACAGATTGAAGGTGAAGTGGAAGGGAGTGGAAGAGGAGGAGCCTGGGAAGGGTGGGCAGCTCCAGGGTGGGGATGGGGGAATAAAAGCAGGGTGACCAGAGAGGTGGTGATCACTGGCTCTAGATCTCTCCCTTCTGAGCTTCCTCCGCCTCTCAGCACACAATGGCCCAGCGCCTGCACAGTCCCCTGCTCCTGCTGGCTGCTCTGGCCCTGGCCCTGGCTGTGAACTCCCAGAGAAACTCCAAAGTCGGAGCCCCATGGGATGCAGATGTCAATGACAAGGATGTGCAGGAGGCACTAAAATTTGCCCTCAGCGAGTACAACAAGGCAAGCAACGATGAGAACCACAGCCGTGTACTGCAGGTGAAGAGTGCCCAGAAGCAGGTGAGTCCCCTCCACCACCCAAGTGCCCCTGGTAGAGCTGTGGGGACTGGGCCCTGAGCGGAGGGGTGTGGCCTCATGGCATGGCCATCGTGTCCCCTGTCTGTCCCTGTGTCTGGCTGGAGGGGTTGCTCTCTGACACCCTAGCAGGAGTACTGGGACAGAGGACACTCCAGTGCCTCTCAGCAGGCTGTGTCCAGTCTTTCGTGTTCACCACAGCCCTTCCCCTACAAGGACAACAGAGTGCGTGGGACCCAGGCTGCAGACCAGGTCACAGCAATGGCCTTCTTTGGTGATTTCAAGTGCCAACCTGGCCAGAGAACAGAAGTGTGAGGGTCAGGACCCCTGTCCAGTCCCCCTTACATCTGTGCCCCAGCCTCACAGGACACGGACTTCAGTGTGAGCTGTCAATTAAATGATCACAAGCAGAGGAAAATCAGGCCCCACACTTGGCTGCCCTCCTGACTCTGCCACTGAATGACTTTTTAAGCACTTTTTCCTTTAACTTTTTATTGGAGCACAGTTTAAGACTTGCAGAGCAATTGCAACAATAGTTCATAAAATCCCTTTATATTCCTACCTAGATTATCCAATGTTGTATGTGGGATATATGCATTTGTTTTTCTGAACATTTTGAATTAACACCTCAGTGTACATTTCCTAGAAGCAAGGGCATTTTCTCACATGACCACAACACAGTTTTGGAAATCAGAATCAACACTGATACAATCCTCCAATCCACAGACCTCATCCATATGTCACTGATTGTCACACTGATATCCCTTATACCCAGGATTGCCAGGTCACGTGCAGCAGCCTCTGTCCTGCAGCTTCCTTTACTCTGGAGCAGCCCCTCCATCTATGATCTTGACATTTTTGAAGGGTCTGGCCCATTGTTTTTCCTACTGGGGCTCAGTTTGGATTGGTCTGATGTTTCCCTGAGATGAGATTCAGGTCATGAAGAAGTGGTTTGTCCTCCCTGCCTCCCCTCACCAGGTTCCTCTAAACTAACCTACGTTCTATGTCCTCATTGTGCAATGGAGTTTAGGGCCCACACCAATCATCCTCCATTAGGCAGGGCCCTTTGTTCCCTGAGCACCCATGTTGTCAGCAAAGACAGATAGGGCGATGAGCTAGCCTGTGGTACCCAATGTATCCCTGAGCAGAGGAACTGGCGTAAAAATCCAAACCTGTCCTCAGATCCTGGAGGAAAGGCCCAAAGTGTTGATTCCTTTGACAGGTCGCATCCATGGCAGCAGCCTCTTGGATATGACATCTCATTCCCCACCCAAATATTGCCTCATCATCACCAACATCCAGAGGTAGAGGTGTCATGACTGGGGTAGAAAGAACCACAACTACCTTACCTCTTCTAGCCTGTCCTGGAGATCTGGTTAGATAAAGAGCGTAGTCATCAGAGTCCATAAGGGGGTGGGAGGGAGTCTCAGGAAGGGCCACTGGGCTTTGCAGACTCTAAGGAGGGTGAGGATTTGGGCCAGCTGACCTGGGGCCTATTTGAGAGTAGAATAGAACCTCACAGCAATGAAAGCCAGCATTTAGGGCTCATCCTCCTTCTCTTGAAACTTCAGAAGGTGGGCCCAGAATAGACCATTTCTTCTCCTGCAGCATTTGGCTGGCACTGTGTCCTTTGGATGGGGCATGTGCTCCCTGTTCACTGGTTCCCTGCCAGTCTGCTCCTCTTAAGTGTGACCTCTCCTGCAACCTCAAATGTAAAAGACAGGCAGGTGTGTGACACACTTTAGAAATATCCCCATCATAAATAAAAGTTAAAACATACAACGGCAGGGCCAGCCTTTTATTAGCTTAAAATGTATGTATGTATGTGTGTATGTGTATGTGTGAGAGAGAGAGAAACACAGAGAGAGAGACAGAGGCATAGAGACAAAGGGAGAGAGGCGTCTCATTTCCTAGTGTGAACTGAGGGAATAAATAAACTGAGCTGCATTGAGGAAATGTAAATATCTATGGGGTTGACCCATGTAACTGGAATTTAGCTTACATGTATCCATTACATGACCGTCTTCCTGAACCTGATCCAGAATCTGTTGCAGCACAAGAGCTCTTACTGTGGGCTTAGTCCCTGCCCTGGCTCCTGGCGAGGGAGAGGTTTATTAACCCAAGCCCTGCTGGCTCCCCAGACTGAGACTCCCTCTCCAAACCCAGTTAACAGAATTTTGGTCCCTGGCTTCCACCTTCCATCTTACTGCTTCTTGCCCTCTGTCAGCCTGAGACCTTGTGGAACTTCTCTGTGAATCAGTTACAAAGTTGCTTGTTTATAGCCACTGGGCCAGCCCTCAGGAGGTGGCTGTGAGTTTCTGGGGTACCTGTTTTGGCAGCATAAATGCTGGTGTGAGGGCCCGATAGCAGGAGGGTAACTTGTATGTAAAATTATCAGATGTTGTGAGAAAACCCTGCTCTCCCCATGTACAGGTTGTGGCTGGAATAAACTATTTTCTGGATGTGGAGATAGGCCGAACCAAATGCACCAAGTCCGAGCCCAACAAAGAGAGCTGTCCCTTCTATGAACAGCCAGACTTGCTGAGGGTATGTGCCTGATGGGGGCCAGGGGCAGCCAAGCAGGGAGGAGGGGTGGGAGTGAGCCTGTGTCTGTGGGGTGCACGTGTGAGTGCTCGGGCTAGGGGTGTGCAGGTGTCAGTGGGTGGGTAGGGGAAGGGTGCACGTGTTTGCATGCTACTAATTCGAATTTATATGGGGAACTTTGCCTGGAAAAGTGGAGCTTCATGTGCTTTGGGGGCAGTTGCTGGTGGGACAGAGGAAGCAGCTGTGGGGTGTTTGCTGGGGAGAAAGAGGCCTTTAATCTCTGCCTCAGCTGCCTGAAAAGACTGGAAATTCGAGGCCTGTGAGGGGCAGAAACCCTCTGATGCTGCCCTAGGCCTGGCTGGTTCTTGGGGATCTTGTCTTTGCATGAAATTTGCACTTCTTTTGTCTGCCAGCCCCCGCACCCTACTTCCTTCGCACGCGTGCCTGTGTGTGAGTGTGTGTGTGTGTGTGTGTTTTAGTCTTGGTCACAGTCCCTGGATCCCTCCCTCTGCACCTGTCCTAGTGTGGCCCACTGGAAGTCAGGGAATTTGGGGGCAGTGCCCTGGCTATCAGGGGCTCTGGGGCCTTCCACAGGCTTCTCCTAAAAGGGCTGTGGGGGTACATTGACCAAGTAGCAACCTGTGGGTGGGGGTGGGGGCAGGATCCAACCTCCTGGATTTGAAGCCATGGGCATGGTGACCAGGAGGTAATGCAGAGCCCTGCATAGTGTTATGGGGTTTTGTAGGGTGGGAGCTGAATGTCCAACCTCCACCATTCTCCATCTGCTCTTCTGACTTCACCAGGCTGGGCATTTTCCTTTTGGACTGTAACAATAACTGTCCATTTCTTTTCCTTTTCACAGAAAAAGCTCTGCTCCTTCCAGATATACACTGTCCCCTGGCTGAGCGAGAAATCCCTGGTGAAGTCCCACTGCCACGATGCATAGAGGACCCCGTGACAGGCCCCTTCACACTATCATCCTCCTTGTAGAGCTGCTAAGCTTTTGACCCTGCCCAGGTGAAAGTCCCCTTAGTGTGCCAGCACCAGGAGACAAATAAAGGGTTCTGGGGCATTTTTGGACAGCTTAGTGACTCTACCTCCTTTCTTTTCATTGCTTTCCAAATGCACCAGATATAGTGCAAGTGTTCTGCTCTATCTTAATCAATAAACACTAACATCAGCTAATTTTGGCTTATTCATTATCTTAGATATATACACAGAAGAATGGTTTGAGTAATTCCTTTAAAAAGAGCTCCTGGTCCCAATGGCTCTAGAAGGCAGAGGAAGAGCTGAAAGCTGACAGGGCCATGGTGGGATTGTGAGGGGAGCATGCTATCATTTCTTAGGATGATTGAATCAGAGACAGGCTGGGAAACCAGCCCTTCAGCTATGGTAATCACACAGGGAAAAGGAGGGGACATAAGCTGCTCATTCTGGAGACTTGACTGCTGTGTTTGAAAAGAATTCAGAACAGGAATGGGCAGAAGGAAGAGTTCAGATAGAACCCATAGCCTAGGGCCACCCTGAACAGGGCTCTGCCAGGAAATAAAGTTCAACCATGTGTGCTGAGCCTATCACACTCCTGTTGTGATTTTCACTGGTAAAATACCCTAGAGACAAAATAAATATTGATTTATGCCTACCTTTTTGTTCAGGCACCTACAGAAGACAAAGACTAAAAGTTTAAGTATGTATATGTAACTGATTGTGGAAATACCAATTAGAATCAAGATCAGTCAAGGTCAGAATCAGCTCGGTTACATTAGAAAGAGTAAAACCAACTCCACATCACTGTCTCAAGACTGTGTCTTTAGAGCTGCCTCTGGGATCAAGAAAAGCAAGAGGAACACATATCCAAGGACAGGTGTAGGTGTGCTGAGTCTTCTGAGTGCTCAAGTTCAGGTCATGGATCAATTGGTGGTCCTGTCTTTTTTATGACATTCTCCAACACTCCACCCCTCATGACCCTCTCTTACAATCTCATAGTCCTTTCTTCTGCAGTGGACACAGATGTTAGCAAGGGGTTTCATTAGCCTAGAGATGATTCTTTTGGTGGATCTCTGGCTGCATTAGAGGCAGATGCCATAGCAAAAATAGAGGCACATGCAAGGCAAAACACATTTAAGACAATAATTTCCAAAATCAATGAATTTTTTTTCGACCAAGAGCACCAGGACCCAAATAATTTATTTATTAGGTCCCTTGAAATTGGGATTGGATCTCTCAGGCCATTAACTTGTATCTTCATGTGATTTAATAAAGATGATACATTAGCAGATTCATCAGTTATGAATATACAACATCCTGTTTGCATGATGACATAGGTTCCATCCTTGGAGGCAGTAATAATATCCAAGGCCATCCTACTTTGGAGGATAACATTTGTCATTAGAGTCCTTTCAGTGTTCAGTAAGGACAGACATTGCTGGCTACCATTCAGAGTTTGCTGAGTATATATCCTAAGGACTTCTATATGTGCAAGAACATCTTCCTGGCTATGGAGGCAACAAAGACAGCAGACAAATGATCATACCAGTGAAATGCAGAATGTGTCCATGTAACCTTGAGGATAGGGAAATGGTAGCCACTGTTACCAAGGGACAGATGCTACCCTATACCCATGTAATGCCCAAGTGCAGTGGCTCAACCACCCAGGTGGAAACCATGTCACACAGCTTTTGAGTGCTACTGAGTAAATACCTGAACTTATAGTCAATCAATTCCAAACTAGTCACTATCCCTTAGTTATGACAGAATGACCACATGGTTCCAATGAACTATGTACTAGCCCTAGTTTGTTCTTCTGCAACGTACTGCTTTAGGACATTCTAATCCTTTCCCTCAGGGAGTGATACCCACCATGGCAACACTGATGAGCTTGAGAAGGTCACCTGCTCACGTGCCCAACAGTGAGATGGATTTCTTCAGCAGGCATAGAAGTGAGTCCACCTCACCACCTTAGTGTCTCTCACCACTTAATCTCAGAAGTCCATGCCATCACGTCTTCCCTCCCAACTCTAGGACAATGTGGGAGGAAACTGCTCAGGGATATAAATACTAAGAAGTATATATTAAATGGGGACCATGATATCCATACCGTAGCCTGACCTCTGTGACATGTTGGTTGATACACATCATTAAGGCATGTAAAATAACTCATGCCTTTCTAGTACTCTCATAAGACTGACACTATCCCATCAGCTTACATCTACCTATTTGTCCTTTAAAACAGACCCAGGTGAGAATGAGACCCCTCATGTATAGTTTCTCTCAACCTGTGAACAGAAGAGGTGAGTTTTGTGTTCACACACCTGCATCATACCATGGGGTAACAACCATCAACACCTCCATTCAAAATGAGTGAAATGGATACTAGCCCTTTGTCTGATATGTCATTTGCAAATATCTTTTCCCATTCAGTCAGTTGCCTTTTAGTTTTGTTAATTGTTTCCTTTGCAGTGCAGAAGTTTTATCTTCATGAGGTCCCAATAGTTCATTTTTGCTTTTAATTCCCTTGCCTTTGGAGATGTGTCAAGTAAGAAATTGCTTCGGCTGAGGTCAGAAAGGTTTTTTCCTGCTTTCTTCTCTAGGGTTTTGATGGTTTCCTGTATCACATTCAGGCCCTTTATCAATTTTGAGTTTATTTTTGTGAATGGTGTAAGAAAGTGGTCTAGTTTCATTCTTCTGCATGTTGCTGTCCAGTTCTCCCAGAACCATTTGTTAAAGAGACTGTCTTTATTTTCCATTGGATATTCTTTCCTGCTTTGTCAAAGATTAGTTGGTCATATTTTTGTGGGTCCAATTATGGAGTCTCTATTCTATTCCATTGGTCTATGTGTCTGTTTTTGTGCCAATACCATGCTGTCTTGTTGCACACCTGAAAAACAAATAATCCAGTGAA